CATTTTTGAAACTTGCCCTGAAATCCTATCTGTCTCCAGAAACATTGTTTATTTTGGGGTCTATCTTCATGAATCTTCTTTTCCATCCTCCCCTTTCCCTTATTTTTCCACTAAATGTAGGCCTTTATAATATGCTTTCTCAGAACTCAATGTATACTTACTTTGTTAAGCTAATTGCCAGAGAAGTTAATGATTGCTAACTAAGTTGTCAGCAACTAACCACAGCTTAACACAATAGTGTTGTGCCCTTTGTTGAAAAAAATGTTCTAAGTACCTTTCATGTATTACATCATTTAATTCTTTGAAACTTATACATTATTATGTTATCCGCATTTTACAGATGATAAAACTAAGACCCAGAGAAGTTGAATAACATACCCAAGGTCACACATCTAGGAAGTGGTTGAGCTAGGATCTAATCCTAATCAGTTTGATTACCTTTAATCAATTCATTGAACTTTCAGTTCGCATGTCCCACTCCCCAACAGTGCTATTAAAAAAAAAATCTCTTGTAAACTCTGATATACAGGACATAATGGATAGGCAGAGATTTTCATGAGAGAAAATTGCTGTTTTAATGTGACAACTGACACTGCACAGGGTTCCCTATTTAACCTAATCAGAAAACTGCTTATAATGCAGACTTATTTGTATTTGCTTTATCTAGAAACATGAGGTTTTAATTTAATTAATTAATTTATTTATTTATTTTTGGAAAGAGTCTCACTCAGGCTGGAGTGCAGTGGCATGATCTAGGCTCACTGCAACCTCTGTCTCCTGGGTTCAAGTGATTCTCCTGCCTCAGCCTCCTGAGTAGCTGGGATTACAGACATGTGCCACTATGCCCAGCTAATTTTTGCATTTTTAGTAGAGATGGGGTTTCTCTATGTTGGCCAGGGTGGTCTCGAGCTCTGGACCTCAGGTGATCGACCTGCCTTGGCCTTCCAAAGTGCTGGGACCACAGGCGTGAGTCACCGTGCCCGGTCATGAGGTCTCTCTTATACAATTCACAAATTACACATCTTCACTATTTCAGCAATGAAATCTAAGAGGAAAGCTGAGGTTACTTAAATAACTTCCATAGACAAAAATACAATAGTTCCTTTGTCCTAGCAATGACTATGAATATTTTGTTCCATGGGAAGTGCATTATACACTTCTCGCAAGACCAAGAAAAAAAAGGAAGCAATAACTTTGAGGTTTAATCAAAAGCAACAATTCCATTTCATGTGCAAGTATTGAGAGAGCAGGGTGTAATTGTGACATTTGACCTCTTCTCAATTCCTATTGTCCTCACTGCTATATTCACTTGAGTAGTCCTTGTAGACCAAGACACCCCAAGACTGGATTCTATTTTGGAGAAGAAAACTCCCTGCCCTATTCATGTTGTGAGATAAAATGTGTCTCTCTGGTGACCAAAACTTGCTTCCAAATCTTGACCTTGAATTTCCTTCCAATGAAAGAAAACATTACTCCTTAGAGTCATGGCTAATTTCAGGCCTGGAGCATTGTAGGTACAAGATGCTGTAGAATAATTTACTTACCAGAGAGAGTGTGTGTTTTAAAAAAATGTGTATATGAAATGGAGACATAAGAACAAGCTTGAAGGTGTACCATGGGTAAATTCTGGAACCACTGGCACACAAAGATAATTAAGCACATCAATGAGTTATATACCATTAAACAATGGAAAGCCTTTACTCCATACCATTATTAGATAGGTAGACAGATAAGTAAATAGAAAGAATGGAGGATTCTTGCTAATAGTAGAATCCTGAATATTGGCTAATAAATTTAAAAGAAGTGCTGAAGCTGAAAAATCATACATTTGTAGCCATCAATGGATGGCAACTGTAGGAGAAATTGTGATAAGAGGTGGTTTATTTACATAGTCTTAAAATGTCTCCATGTAGACAGTTTATTAAACAGGGGAAAGAAGTAATTATGCAGTGGGAAAATTGAACCACATCTGGAGTAGGCGATCAAAATTAACATCTCCAACGTGAGACAGATAGTCATCATGTGCCTCCAGATGTGACAGCATCTCAGAAAGATGCATAATGACCTATGTAGAATTTTGGTTAAAAGTGCATTATCTGGATCTAGTCATGAGGAAATATTAGATGCACTCAAAATGAAGAACATTCCATTAAAAAATGAGGGGGAAGAGGAGGAACTATATCCTCCAGAGCTGTCAAGCACATAAAGACACATATGTACAGACTATGGAAATATTTCAGACTAAAGAACCATGAAAACTAAATGCTATGTGACCCTAGACTGGATTCTATTTTGGAGAAGAAAAATACTGAAAAGGATATTATTGTATCTATTTTTTAAAACTGAAATATGTACAGTAGATTTGATACAAGCATTGTATCAATATAGAGTTTACTGAAGTTGAAAACTGTTATGTGGCTATATGAGTCTATCCCTATCCTTAGGAAATACACACTAACATATTCAGGGGTAAAGAGTTAGTCTATGCAATTTACCCTCAAAATGGCTCAGACTGGGAGAGAGAGAGAGAATCAGGATAAAATGTAACTTTGGGTAAAATATATATTCATGGTTTTTGTATTGCTTTTATTTTCACAATTCTGTAAGCTTAAAATTATTGCTGAATACAAATTTAAGGAAAAATAATTTTAAAATGTGTACCTACTAAAGAAAAGTTTTTCTTGGCAGCTCAGCTTAATGGTTTCTCACATTTTGCCCCTTGACATGGACTTCATGCAACAGGCATAGATAAGGTAAGTGGTGGATTAGATAAAATTTGAAGGATTCTAACTATTATTTATGTATTCGGTTATCAGATACTTATTGAACACCTACTGTGTGCCAGACAATATGCTATGTTGCGTCTTTTCTCACACACTTTGCCTACTAAAGTGTGTAAAATTAGAATAAATTATGGGAAAAAATAATTTACAAACATAAATTATTTGTAGTAGCAAATTATTTGCAGTAAATTTGCTGTTCCCTCCTTACCTGTGTGTATTAGACTCTCACTTGAAAACCACTGGCTGAGTTGACACATCTTGAGTCACTTTTTTTCTTTGACTTGAGACCCTAGACGACTGATGTTCCCCTGCCTTATTTCTGTGACCAACCCATGCTTCGTAATAATAAAATATATGCTTTTGTCACTCATGGCTGAAAACTTTGCCTGAAGAAACAGAAAAATACTCCAATTTCCTTAAAGATGTAGCTTCATTTTGCAACATCATTAATATCAGCTTTCTGAGTACTATTGTTAATCCTTAAAGAGTCCAGTGGGTCACCCAATCCTCCCAGATTGTGACTTTGAAATTGCATACTTTAGATTCGTTAAATAGGCTCTGAAATTCCCTGGTACTATGTCTTGCCTTCTTGTATCAAAAGACCAAACTGGTATTGTCCACTTCAAAGAAACTCTCAACCCACTGTTGATCATCAGAGTGCGAAGGAAAGAACTTGGACTTTGGTACGTGATAAAGCTGGGTGCAGATTATCTCTGCCGCTTATTCAATGAGAAGCAATAACCAAAAGATGAATATCTCTGATAATGTTTCCTCCCTTAAAAGTGGGAATAATAAATGCAATCTTCCTTAGAGGATGGTTATAAGAAATTGAGTGAGATAATGCCATACAAAGTGTTTGACATGGTGCTTTAGATATGGTTATTACTTTAAAAAGTTAATCATGAATATTACTGTAGAAGAATAAACCTAATTTCTGTTTACATAGCTGGAAAACAGAATTCATCTTTAGGATGAGACTCTCGTTGCTTAAATTGATTCTGGATGTAAGACCCTGAGACTATGGTTTTGAGTAAAACAAGGAAATGAACGAAACAGTAAAACTGCTCTGCACAGTACAATAACAAAAGTTAGGGTGTAAAACAATGACAAAAAGGAAAAAAAAAAAAAAAAAAGAACAAGTTAAGGAGAAAGGATTACAAAAGAGAGGAAAGTTTTTCTATGTGGTAAGGTGTTACAGGTCTTTAAGGAGGTGAGATGTCTAGTGTTAAATTTTGAGTTGTCTGCCTTGCCACAAGTCAGTGCCTATGTCTTCCCCAAACTCCTCTTAAATTTGTGACTTGAATGAGTGTTTTTGTTTTTGTTTTGTTGTGTTTGTTTGTAATTTTGTTTTCCTAATGGAAATTTATGTGAATGGAATGGGTTTCATGACTGGGTCAGCTATGAGCAGAGAAGAATGAACAGATGTTGAATGCAAAATGCAAGCAAGATGAAAGCATTTGTAGGAGAAATATTTAGGAGTTAGAAAAGATCATGAGATGTAATCTCTGATGAAGAACAGAAAACTTAAGGAATAATGATATGGAGGTTTGACCTATGTGCTGTGTTCTTATTACAGTTAAATGAATGAACTTACCTCAAAGAACACAACTGCCTAGAATATTTTAAACAGGAGAAAACTAAAACACTAAAATGTAGGAAAATACTATCAGTCCATAGACTTATATCTGAAATTCTACAATACAAAATTGTTCTGGAAATGTAATTACTTTTTCTCTTTTAATGAAAAAAACCGACATCACTCACCATTAGGTTGCCTATTGCCTGTATTTATTCATAAGATGAATATATTCATATATTTCACTAAAGCGGCTGCTGCTGCTGCTGCTGCTTCTGCTTCTGCCTCTTCTTCTTTCCTCATAGACTCTCTCATTTTGTTACTGAGGCTGGAATGCAGTGGCACAGTCATAGCTCACTGCAGCCTGAAACTCCTGAGTTCAAGTCATCAACCTGTCACAGCCTCCCAAGTAAACTGGGATTACAGGCATGAGCCACCATGCCTGACTCCTGAAGCTAAGATGTTGAATTATAACGTGCTGACCAGTGTTGGCTAGGGTCATTGTCAATATAAGTATAGACAACACATATTCTTGGTCAACTCAGAAAATTCTGAATTCTCAAACATCTCCTCAGACTTTGGATAAGAGACTGTAAATGCAAATTCAGAAAAAACATTAAAAATGAAAAGAAAGAGATTACCTTCCAGTGTATTTCTAAAGCTGAAATTGGCAGCTTTATCCATGGAACCAGATTCATACTGGGTCAAACTCAGGCAAAATTCTACGTCAGCTGAAGAGGGGAGCCTTGGGGTTCTGGATTTGTCATGGTTTCCAGGATTGCGCTGTAAAGGTCCCTCGGGCATTCCATTGCATAAAGACTGATGGCTGTTGTACTCCTCCAATCGGCTACAGATAATCTGTACAAAACACCCTCATGTTAAACAAATTGTCACCACCTCTGAGTCAGTAGAAGAAGGGTAGAAATGTTGGAATTTCTAATTACCATTGTTAGACTTCTCCTTAGGAGATTACCACAATTTTGTGTCTTTAATGACAGGGATATGTTCTGAGAAATCCATCATTAGGTGACTTTGTCATTGTGTGAACATCATAGTCAGCGTACTTGCACAAACCTAGATTGTATAGCCTACTAAACATCTTGGCTGTATGGTAAAACCTACTGCTCCTGGGCTACAAACCTGTCCAGCACATTGCTGTACTGAACACTATAGGCAACTGTAAGATAATGGCAAGTATTTGTACATCTAAACCTATCTAAACATATAAAAGGTACAGTAAAAATACAGTATAAAAATTATTTTTAAATGGCATACTTGTATATACAGGACGCTTACCATAAATGGACCTTGCAGGAGTAGAAGTCGCTTTGGGTAAGTCAGTAAGGGAATAATGAGTGAATATAAAGGCCTAAGATACTACTTTACGCTACTGTAGATTTTATAAACACTATATATATAGGCTACATTAAATTTATAAAAATATTTTTCTTTTTCAATAATAAA